AAATATTGTGAACTATAATTTACATAGATTGTGTAGATTTGTATGTCCCTCTTGTTGTTTATAGTACCCTACAGTGCAAATAGATTTGTATGCAGATATCTGTTGTTATTTTGGCTTAGAAAAAGAAGGTAATTATTTGATTTTCTGCAGTTAAGACTAAACATCTGCAATAATTATAACCAAAGGCAAAAGGAAATTCTTTAATTATTTTGTCTAATTTTATTGTAAAATCGATTGCTGCAAATTGGAATGAATCTTGTTAGTCCTTCCAGTTTGATTTACTGACATTAGTTTCTTTACTTGTGGAAGGAAGACATAAACTCAAACTAGTCAAAATATACCAATACCTGGCGGGAAATACTGTATGGAATAGGACATAGCTGCAAATTTTGGAAGTTCTACAGATTGCAAAGCCAGATTTTCAATAGTTATATAAGAGTTTTTATATATCTAGGTTTATATATATGCTAACCCTCTTCCCCTAGATTGGTGATAGGTCTGCTATCTGTGCAACCCTCGGTTCAGCCATGATTCTGCGGTTGTTGCCTACTTTCCTGAGACGTTCATAAGACCATTTCAGAATACATGGCTGGGCGCCTTCTAACTCTAGCTAGCTTGAGGCGGATGCATCAAAGCCATTGCCCGTGGAGTAATTGGTTATAGATCGGAAGTAGTTAGCTGCTTGGACTTTTCACAGAGGTATCGTTCTGGCCACTCCCAAGTGAGTGACAATCAGAAAACTTTCAACCTGACCTAATTCAAAAGGGCAACTGCAGATCCCTCCTTTTAGCTTCATCTCATAATGGGAGAAAGGTTTATTACGGTTTTAAATCGCTTTTTCATCACGATCATCGAAAGATATATTTTTCATTGATCCAATTCCGAAAGATATATTTTTAAAGGAGACCATCTCTGGGAAATAATTATCTGGGAAATAATTAACTCAAGTTAATCTTCATTAATCGAAAGTGAAAGTTTTCATTAAAAGAATTGTTCTTAATATGGAAATCGGATCAATGCTAGTCGCTATGTAGGAGAACCATAGGCATGAAGTGGAGCCTTTGTTCTTCTATGATACATTGACTTCATAAGAGCGTAATTACACCAATTCTCAATTATGCTTCAATAATCTTGAAACTGTATATAAGATATGAAACGGGACTTACAAACTGAACAAAAGCAATTATACGACACGTTATCAATCTTAGACACAATCATCGGACATGTCCGATAGCATACCATACACAGACTATGTCGGGAACTTTGAAACACTGATCCCAGATAGAATGTTATGGTCAAGCAGAACATTAAAGCAAATACTCGTAGGAATCCGTTGATACACGTATGGCCCTTAATTTGGAAGACAAAGCGGGCCTTGGCGGGCCAGAAACCGCGGTGTACATCCAGTGCACAATGTATGGTTTCAGTCCCCATCTTTTCCCAAAGGTTTTCTTACATATATAGAAGGCACATAGTGCCTTCTTCATTCGACTCTTAGCATTACGTTTCCTTGTGAGCTTAGAGTCTAAAATTACGCCAAGAGGTAGTCAGAATGGTAGCATCCAAACGCAGAGGTCTGAATTCTGGAGTTTTGTACCTCCTGGTGAAAAAAAAACCATTTCGGGTTTGGCCGGGTTGACACCCAGACCGTTTTTCCTGACCATAATAGTAGAACGTTGAGGGCTGATTCCATGAGTTCACTTATTGTGGGAAGAAATTTCCCTTGAAGCATTTTATTTAAGACAAGATTCCACGGGAGTGGAGAGATTACACCACCTTGTGGTGTGCCCCTTGTCACAACTTTCCTTGCCTTGCCAATACCCATATTAGAGTTGATGGCCCTTTTTTTATCCGCTGATCAGCACCTAGGTCGCACAATGCATCCATTATTGAGGATATGTTCATGTTATTCAACGCACCCTCTATATCCAAGAAAGCTGCTATAACATATTCTTTTATGTCAAGTGCCTTCTCTATAGTTCTGACAACGTGATGTAATGCTGTCTCCACCGACCTTCCTTTCAGGTATGCGTGTTGTGCCCTACAGAAATTATCAGGAGAGATGATGCTCCTGACATAGATGTCGACCAATCTTTCCAATGTTTTCAATAAATACGTTGACAGACTGATCAACCTAACGTAACCTAATATGGATATACAATTAAGTATAGCGGCCTTACGTTGGAAATTCTAAATTATATACGCAACTTTAACTTCTATCGATCTACAAAGCTCGGAATTTTACACACCAATATCCATCATTGCTTTTCGAAACTTCCCTGTAAAAACTTTCAGTAAGGGGTTAAAAGGAATCAAGTAGATTTCATTTACCCCCTTCTTAGGAGAAGTGTATCCCAGAGATTGGGTTCTCCATTGATCGAAACACATAGTTGGACTATAAGATGAATGAAGCAAAACTTTTCAACAACTTCTTTCTAAAATAGTTTTAAGATTTATTGCAACATGTAGCCGACCGCATTCTAGGCTATCGCTTCAAACGAATGACTTGCATTCTGTAACGGTAAGATCAGAGATACAACTCTTTTTATTCCGTCAAATACAGAACGTTTCCTTAAGAACCATGAATATTTGGCTTACGATCTCTTTTACTTCAGATTATCGTAATGGATCAATTTTACATCAGAAGTAATGATTTGGGGCAAAACTGTTTTACTTTTATAGCATTGAAGCAGAATTTCGTACATTTAAAAGCGTCTTTCAAGTTCTCTCGGTTTCAATTTCATATGATAACCCAATTTCACTGCTTTTTATACCCTACACCACTTTAGTGGGGAGGGTATATTGAATTTGTGCTGATGTTTGTAACATACAAAAATATTCGTCCTAGACCCACCTTAAAGTATACCAATCGGCTTAGAATCGTTTTCTGAGTCGATTAAGCTATGTCCGACCGTCCGTCCGTCCGTCTGGCTGGCTGGCTGTCCATGTAAACCTTGTGCGCAAGGTACAGGTCGCAATTTTCAAGATAATTGGATGAAATTTGGCACGCACGCACCCAATGACGAAGCCTATTGAAAATTGTTAAAATCGGTCCATTATTTCACCTAGCCCCCATAGAACAGAACCCCCCGAAAAGGGCTTCTGAGCTCATAATTATGTTATATATACAGATATATCGATAAAATACCGCACAACTAAGTTTTATAGAAGTCTTGATGACCCTGCCAAATTTCATAAAGATCGGGCCCCATTTGACCCTAGCTCCCATACAAAGTCCTCTTCAGAAAATTACTTGAATGTCCCAAATTAACTTATAAACACAAATATCGCGATGAAATTCAGCACAATAAAATATTATGTAAATATAAATATATTCACAAAATTTTATCGGGCTTTGTCCATATTTGCCCCTAGCCCCCATATAAAGCCTCTTTCAGAAAATTAGTTTTTCATCCATAAATTGCTTAAATGTATCGGAACAAGGGAATATTGAAGATAAATGCTTTATTATGAAAAATAAATCACATAAAATATTCATAACTGGTGTAGGGTATCATATGGTCGGCCACGCCCGACTATACTTTCTTACTTGTTCATGTTGAAATAGCAGCTTGAGTAGTTCCCTATAATTTTGCAGGCTACTTGTTAAGCTTGACAATAATCTTCATGGAATAACGCCTCAAATTCTTGGTCTTGAAACTTGTTTTGCTGACCTGGCCGATTTTTGACTTCCGTCTTAAAACCACCACTTCTGAAACGAACAAATCGTCTTTCTCATATTGAAACGGGTTGAAAAGTAACACCATAGAACAGTTTCATCATAAGTTTTCATATCTACTTTTAGAAAAGTTGTCATGGTAAGGAAGAAGACTAGGCTTAACCTTTTTCCTTCAAAAGAGTTGATTGTTGAAAGAACCCAATGTATGTATGCTTCAACCTTCCGAAAATCATAAGTTGAAAGTGATTAGGCTACCATATAGCCGGTCATGCCCCAACTATACTTTCTTATAGGATGTTAATGACAAACAATTATAATTTGCCAAAAAAATCGAAAGATTTTTGTATAAAAATATTAATAAAAATCTATGGAAAACTATTTAAAATTATAAATAAATTTATTAAGTAAACTGAATTCTTTTATTCTCTGGTTATTGTTTGGCAAACAACAAAAGAGACGACAACAAGAAAGAAAAATAAAAAGTTTATTAAAAACACATCAACATCTTCATCCTCATCATCAGCAGCAGTAGTTTTTCACGTCTCTTCTTATTGAATTGTTTGCTGTTGTTGTCTTTTGTTATTATGATTACTTTTTTCGGTTGTTTGTTGTAATAAAAGTAAAAGGTTTGTTATTTTTTTGTGCATTTTACTGTTATGTAAAAAAATGAAACAAAAAATACAATAAAACCAACAACAATATTGAGAATGTTTTGCTTTTACAGCCTCAAATGTAAAAGCAATTCACCTCAAATGTACAAAAATAACAACCTTGAACTATTTAAATATGGATTGTGTGAGTGTAGATTTATGTGTATGTGGGTATATGAATGTGTGTGGTTTTATTTAGATATGCTAGAGACATGTTCCATCATGTTTGGAGAAGAATCAGCTTTACCAGTTTTCTTTTTTATTGTTGTTGTTGTCGTCAACAATTTATGCTTTTTTGAACACAATCATCTTATTCTCATTTAATTTTTATAGTAATTGAAAATTTTCATTTTGTTTTTAGGCAACAAAAGAAGAAACCAACAAAAAATATGTGGGAATAAGTAAATCCTTTTGAACAATTTTAATTTAGTTATTAGGTTTATTGTGCAATAAAAAAAAAACTAAAACTTGTTTGGGATTTATTACAAACATTACTGTTTTTAATATGTAAAAACTTAATGGATTAGTATCAAAAAAGTATAATACATTAGACGTATGAGCAACATTTTAATTCATCAACAAGTATACGCCACCACCGAGTAGGAAGTTAAAGGAAGTTAAGTCCATAATACATTTGTAAAAAAAAACAACAAAATTATTACAAAACTTACCCGATGATGATGATTGTGAATGACGCATTGTTGTCGCCATTGCAATAGAATTGATTTCCGATTCAGGTGACCACATGATTTATTTCGTTGTATTGATATTTAGTTAAAGAGAACCTATCACTAGGATAATGTTTTATTTTATACTTTTAAACTTTTTACGAAATTTGTTATTAGTTGTTTTTTGTAACGACAAAGTTTTCTTTATGTTAAAAAACTAATTCGAACAATAATATTTTGCAGGATTTTCATTTTTGTAGTTTTGTTATTTATTTTAGTTTAAGTATTTGTTAATACTTTGTGAAAAAAACAAATAAGTAGAAGTTAAAAAGTTTTATTTAAATATTTTATGATACTATAAGTAAAAAGTTAGAAGTGGTAACAGTTGTGATTATCCTTAGAGGGAAGGGAAAGTTTTAAAAAGTTGTTAAATTTAAATTAGGTTAAAAACTTTAAAGTAATTATTAGTTCAGACTATAGAATATTCTATAGTCCAGACTATATACTATTCTATAGTCCAGACTTTAGACCATTCTATACCCATATAGACTATGGACTATTCTATAATGCAGACTATAGACCATTTTATAGTCAAGACTATGGACTATTCTATAATGCAGACTATAGACAATTTTTTAGTCCAGACTATAGACCAATCGATAGCCCAGACTATAGACCAATCTATAGTCCAGACTCTAGACAAATCCATAGTCCAGATTATAGACCAATCAAGAGTCCAGACTATAGCTCACACTATAGACCAATCTATAGTCCAGACTATAGACTATTCTATAGTTCAGACTATAGACTACTCTATAGTTCAGACTATAGACTACTCTATAGTCCAGACTATAGACTATTCCATATTCCAGACTGTAGACTATTCTATGGACTAGACCATAGACTATTCTATGGACCAGACTATAGACTATTCTATAGTCTAAACTATAGACTATTCAATAGTCTAAACTATAGACTATTCTATAGTCTAAACTATAGACTATTCTACAGTCTAAACTATAGACTATTCTATAGTCTAGACTATAGACTATTCTATAGTCTAAACTATAGACTATTCTATAGTCTAAACTATAGACTATTCTATAGTCTAAACTATAGACTATTCTATAGTCTGAACTATAGACTATTCTATAGTCTAGATTTTAGACTGTTCTGTCCAGTCTATAGACTGTTCTGTCCAGTCTATAGACTGTTCTATACTCCTGACTATAGACTAATCTATAGTCCATATTTTAGACTATTCTATAGTCCAGACTATAGACTACTCCATATTCCAGACTGTAGACTATTCTATGGACCAGACTATAGACTATTCTATAGTCCAGACTATAGGTTATTCTATGGTCCATACTATGGACTATTCTATAGTTCAGACTATAGACTAATCTGTAGTCCATACTTTAGACCAGACTATAGACTATTCTATAGTCCATACTATAGACTATTCCATATTCCAGACTATAGACTATTCTATGGACCAAACTATAGACTATTCCATATTCCAGACTATAGACTATTCTATGGACCAGACTATAGACTATTCTATAGTCTAAACTATAGACTATTCTACAGTCTAAACTATAGACTATTCTATAGTCTAGACTATATACTATTCTATAGTCTAAACTATAGACTACTCTATAGTCTAGATTTTGGACTATTCTGTCCAGTCTATAGACTATGCTATAGTCCAGACTATAGAATATTCCATAGTCCAGACTATAGACTATTCTATAGTCCAGATTATAGAATATTCTATAGTCCGAACTATAGACTTTTCTATGTTCCAGACTATAGACTTTTCTATAGTCCAGACTATTTTATAGTCCAGTCTGTAGAGTAGTCTATAGTTCACACTATGGACTATTTTATAGTTCAGACTATAGGCTATTCTAAAGTACAGACTATAGAGAATCCTATAGACTGGACATAGACCATTTTATAGTCAAGACTATGGACTATTCTATAATGCAGACTATAGACAATTTTTTAGTCCAGACTATAGACCAATCGATAGCCCAGACTATAGACCAATCTATAGTCCAGACTCTAGACAAATCCATAGTCCAGATTATAGACCAATCAAGAGTCCAGACTATAGCTCACACTATAGACCAATCTATAGTCCAGACTATAGACTATTCTATAGTTCAGACTATAGACTACTCTATAGTTCAGACTATAGACTACTCTATAGTCCAGACTATAGACTATTCCATATTCCAGACTGTAGACTATTCTATGGACTAGACCATAGACTATTCTATGGACCAGACTATAGACTATTCTATAGTCTAAACTATAGACTATTCTATAGTCTAAACTATAGACTATTCTATAGTCTAAACTATAGACTATTCTACAGTCTAAACTATAGACTATTCTATAGTCTAGACTATAGACTATTCTATAGTCTAAACTATAGACTATTCTATAGTCTAAACTATAGACTATTCTATAGTCTAAACTATAGACTATTCTATAGTCTGAACTATAGACTATTCTATAGTCTAGATTTTAGACTGTTCTGTCCAGTCTATAGACTGTTCTGTCCAGTCTATAGACTGTTCTATACTCCTGACTATAGACTAATCTATAGTCCATATTTTAGACTATTCTATAGTCCAGACTATAGACTACTCCATATTCCAGACTGTAGACTATTCTATGGACCAGACTATAGACTATTCTATAGTCCAGACTATAGGTTATTCTATGGTCCATACTATGGACTATTCTATAGTTCAGACTATAGACTAATCTGTAGTCCATACTTTAGACCAGACTATAGACTATTCTATAGTCCATACTATAGACTATTCCATATTCCAGACTATAGACTATTCTATGGACCAAACTATAGACTATTCCATATTCCAGACTATAGACTATTCTATGGACCAGACTATAGACTATTCTATAGTCTAAACTATAGACTATTCTACAGTCTAAACTATAGACTATTCTATAGTCTAGACTATATACTATTCTATAGTCTAAACTATAGACTACTCTATAGTCTAGATTTTGGACTATTCTGTCCAGTCTATAGACTATGCTATAGTCCAGACTATAGAATATTCCATAGTCCAGACTATAGACTATTCTATAGTCCAGATTATAGAATATTCTATAGTCCGAACTATAGACTTTTCTATGTTCCAGACTATAGACTTTTCTATAGTCCAGACTATTTTATAGTCCAGTCTGTAGAGTAGTCTATAGTTCACACCATGGACTATTTTATAGTTCAGACTATAGGCTATTCTAAAGTACAGACTATAGAGAATCCTATAGACTGGACATAGACTGTTCTATAGACCAGACTGTGGACTCTTTTGTAGTCTAAATAATTTTAATGAACATTATCGGAAAGGACTTTATTTCTTGAAAAATTAAACCAGAGTTCGGGTTAGGCTCAATAGAGAACGTTACCCTACCATTATTAATGGTTTCTGTTGGAAAATATGGATGATATTGATTTGGGTAAGATGTGGTTACAAGAGTATGGCTTTATCTGCTATACGACGGCCACAACCATTAATTTATTGAAATAAAAATTTGGCGATAATTTGTTTTCAAAAAATTTACTAGTTTTCTACTTTTTTCCAAGGTCGTGCTATAGACTCCTCTGGATTAATTATTCACTGTGAGGTCACGTGAAGTATCCAGACAGCAATAATTGAGGCATTAGGGGTCAATATTGCTTGTATGATTACGAAATTTGCCCAGTAAACTCGAAGGTGTTCCTAAATTGGAGATCTATAATGCGTTTCTTTCTAACATCTTCCACTTGAGACATTTCTTTTCACATTTATATTAAAATCTTTAAAATTTTTTTCTATATTTAAAATAATTCCAGATTGTGCATGTAGTAGTCGTTGTATTTCCTCTCAAACTTTTTTTTCGTAAATAAAGGAAACACGTGTAAGTCATTTACACTGTTAAAATACAGATGTGGGAATTGTTACCCCTACGTATATAACGAATAAACATATACATACAAGCGAATACATTTGTATAAGTAGGAGGGTTATACTGAAAGTCTTAAGAATTGAGCATCATAAACTTATAATAACTCTAAAAGCTGTTATAGAGTAGGAACAGCTCCCAGACAATAAGTAATCAAGAGCAAGCACATTCCCAACCTCTAACACTCCAAATCTAGTCGATCAGTTTTGCGATCGGAATGAACTGACAAATCCTTAAAGGATTGTACCACAATTCCCTGAGAATTCTTCACTACTAGTTTGAAATCTGGTCTTTTCTAATTTGAAGATTCATGAACCCTGGAGAATCGGCCTCCCATTACATGCCCATGGGGCTGGATAAAGATAGAGATTATTTCCACTCATGAAATTCATTATAATTTTCCTTGAACTTTCATGATAACCCTAGTACAAAATGTATTTAATATACATACCAGTAGTTTAAATGATTCTACCCTTCGTGAAGGAACGAACCTCGCATCACAATCGTACATACTTTCAGTCATATTCCAATGTTCATTTTTCATTCTTTACATTAACATTGTGTCTGTGGTAAATAAAACAAATATATACAAAACTCCCAGAATTTCATAGAGGGACAGACAGACAAACTGATGGATGTCATACAGTACTAATGTCCCAGCAAACAGAACGAAACAAATTGAAACTGCGCTAGATTTTACAGATAATAATAATATAGTTAACATTGCAACATTGTAGCCTACTTAAGTTTAGTTTAGAATGAATGTATTCACTTGGAAACCTATAGGGGCGAAAATATAATGGAAAGGAAATAAACCTAATTCAAATCAGCGGAAAAAAGGACACATCTTCCTTCAGATGGTCTTTCAAAATGGTTCAGGACAAAACCTTATAAATGGCTCAAATAATATCTGATTACACTCTCCAGTTCATCTAGAAATCTGGACCTATCCTTTTAACTCTAAAACTCCTCTACATCTAAATCCTGTGTGCAATTATACCATTTACCTATATTGAGCAGTGATCGGTTATCACTACTATCAGAATCCTGAGAATCCTATACAACGCATTTAGTATTTTAGTAGCTTTTTCATACAGTTTTGGTCAAAGAGCTCTATACACGCTGCTGTCCGTCCATCTATTCTAGCAGAGACAAATAGGGGCTTTACAAACCGATCCCTTAAGTTTAGGCCTTATCTGGTTGAATCATCTACAACCTCATATGTAAAGTGTCATAGTACATTTCAAAGCTACTATACACACATATCCTATCCACATAGATTGTTAATACAGAGCTCGAGGTG